TTAAGAGTTCTATAAGAAACAAAAACGAAAAACGACGGGACAGAGAGAGAGAGGGAGAGAATGAGAGAGAAAGCGAGAGAGAGAGAGAGAGAGAGAGAGGGGGAGAAAGGAAAAAAAACAGAAAAAACGCGAAAAAAATGCAAAAAGGAAGTATAAATGGCGCTTAAGGGAAACAAAAAATGTTTTAAAGAAGGTATGAACGGCGCATCGCGGGAACGCGTGAACCGGCTTCTCCCCATATATATATATCGCAGAAAGAACGAGAACAAGGGAAAGAAAGAAAAGAAAGAAAGATTAAAAAAAAAAAAGGAAGTGAAGAAGAAGAAGAAGAAGAAGAAGAAGAAGCTGTCGGTCGATCCCCACGGGTTGCGGCCGACTTTACTCCCCGTAAGTGTATTCTTCGAGCCCTAAGTAATAATCCGAGAGTAATAACTCGCTCTTTCAAAAAGAAGGACTAAAAGATAAAAGGAAAAAAAAATGAAGAAATAATGAAACCGATGTATCTTTCACTGTATAGGGGATCGACGACCCGTGTATATTTAGCTTTTCTTTCAACAGTCGTAATTATATTGTATTATTATTGCATTATCCGTATCGTATAGATGTGTGTGTAATATCGGACGCTATCGATACTACTCTACGTGTTAACACTCTACCCACGCCCTCTCGCGACTCGGACAAAAGTGTCTATAGGGGAGGAAGGACTTCTTAACTGTTCTATATTTTTTTTCTTCTTCTCCCTATTTTCTTCTGTTCCTTCGTTCTTCACCGTACGGTGTCCTTCCTCGCGGACGAGCCTCGCGATTACGACGAACCTCTGGTCGCAGAGGTTCGAGAAACCGCGATATTCGTCCCTCGGCGCAGCGAACGAGAGGGTGGCCGGTACGCGTGTCTCTATGTTCTTCTGTGTTCCGAAACTCTATTGCTTTCTTCCTTTGTTTTTCTTCTTCTTTCGAACCGCGGGACACGCCGCGTCGTCCCGTTGATATTCGTTCAAGGGGGAAAAAATCTGGACAAAACGATCCTGTTCTCGAGCGAGAAGGAAGAAGAAGAGAAACGAACGCGTTGGCCAGGCTTTTTCTTCACTTTTCGACATGTTTCAAGGAGAGGAAAACAGTCGAGGAACGAAAGAGATAAGCTACCTAGTGGGGTAGTAGGTTTTTAACAGTTGGACGTTTTGAAAAAGCTGGAGAGCCGAAGGATCGTCGAACGTGCGACGATCCAAGCGCACCCCCGTTTTCTTCGTTCATCCTGATTTCGCCGACTTCGATCTTCGAGGTTCGATTATCCTTTCTTTTCCTCGCGACGTTTGCACTTGTTTCTTCTTTTCATCGTCACTTTCCGACTGCCGCGTGGCGACGCGCAACACGCATACTCTTCTTTCGATCTTCTTCCCCTGTGCCACTTCTGTGCAAAAGAAAAAAAAAAAAACACGCTGTTTCTCTTGTAATTCCTTCGTCTCTATCTCGTTTTTCGTTTCCTCTTTTGTTTTTGTTTTTTTTTTCTTCTTCTAATTTCGTCGAATCGTCGAAACTTCTTGTCAATCGTTGCCATTTTTAAACGAAGATATGCTCAAGTCGAGGTATATTATTAATACATATTACAAATAAAAAAATATATATATATT